TTTGAGATATGTCATTTCTGGAGATGTAATTTATGGATTGGATTGTTTGTTGGAACTATTTTGCTTGAATGCATCTGGGTTATATAGTCATTGTGTGGATGTTTGTTTCAAGTTCTTATTTCAGATCTATCACCATAAATAAGGCATAAGTTAGTTTTGAAAAGGTTTCGGTTACTCACAACTGCGTAGGCTTGCATAGTGAGTTTTTGCACATAAATTTTTTGCTCCATTATCGGGGACTAAGTTTATTGCAAACATTGTGAAATTGAGTCGTTTTATTTGCTATTTTGAGTTTTTAGTTTAAACACACAAATATTTTACTGGTGCCGAAGTTGTGGATGATGAGAGATGTCGTGTTATAGAAGAGAGTATGTGGTGCCAGTGCTAATATTCCTAGTTGACAAGCATCAAAAAAAGAAAACAATTGGGATGCATGATGGTAGTGAAAGCAAGGGAGAGCATGAAGGAAAGGACTTCTTATTTGGGTTTGTTATGCAGTGAGCAGGTGAAAACTCTAAGTAATAGAGACCATTTTTAACCTTCCCTTCCAGCAGCATCCTCTTGGTAACCTTATCCTTCACAAAACATTTATCATTTATCAAAGTGAAATTCAACGAAAACATGACTATCCTCGGTAACGTAAGAAATGCTAAGTAAATTATTTGTTAAATCTGGAATATGAAGTATATTTTGTAGGTGTAGCAATGTGATAGGGGCGGTGTGGGATGAAATGGTGGAGTTACTATCATGCTCAATTCTTAAAAGATCACTACCATTTACCATTATATTCAGCCCGTTGATTTAGATTGCCAACCTCCGATGTGCTGTGGTTTATTTGTACCTGAGTCTGCATACCACATAGGGTCAGTAACAACTTTCAGACTTGCAACAAGTGAATTTAATTTGTTGTTGTTTGTATAGTTGGTGTTACTGCTCGAAGAACTCGTGTACTCTTCCTCAAATCGATGATAACTGTAGGCAGCAAAATGACCAAACTCCCTACAAACTTGGCAAGTTGGTTTGGAGTTATTCGAATGACCTCCTCTTCCTCGGTTTCGTCCTCCTCTATTGAAGTTGTTGTAGTTTCCATATGACCTCTATTGGATCCATGTCCTTGAAATTTGCTCATAGCCACATTTGCTGGAGTAGAAATATCAGTAGATTTTGGAATAATATAGAGATGTTCCAATTGGCATTTAAAGGTAAGCATGGTAGCATGAAATTCTTGCCAAAGCCTAACTATTTTTACCATTAATTTGTCGTGATTGGTAGATATTCAACCTCAAGACAATAGATAATAGATGAAATAAATTGCTCGACAAAGATGGATTCACCAGCAACATTCATATTTGCAGCAGTTTGTTTATAAGTTTAAGATATTCTCCAATTTTCATGGACCTTTTTAGTTTGTCGAGGAATGTACCTTAGTCGGTTGATCCGTGATTTGTTAACATTATCGAAACAATCTTCAACGCCCTCCCATAGTTTAGAGGAGGAGSTCAGCTCAAGTAAGGAACTTACTACTATTGACTCCATCCATCTGAACAACCAACCAAGAATTGATTGATCTTTCACCATCAAATCTTCCTAGACTGGATTTAGAACCATTATAGCCTAGTTAGTTGGGGTTTTGAGGAATATATTCCAGTGGCCTTATCTTTGTGCCTACCACAACCATTCAATTGTTGCCCCCTTGATAATGTAAGGACAGTTGATTTCCACATAAGATAGTTCTCATATCTAACCTGAGATTCAGCGATGAACTAACACTACAAGAATTAAGAGTTTCGACGACGACATTCAATTGGTCGCCGAAGATATCTTCAACGACGACTTAAAATTGGTCGCTGAAGGTCACATACCTTCGGCTGTGACCTTCGGCGACCAAATCCGTTTTCGTCTCCGAAGGTGTTTTTTTTTTATTATTATTTTCTTTTCTTTTCTTTTTTTTCAACAATAAACCCAAATACCATAGATTGAAAAACATATAAAACTTATAATATTAAATAAAATTTAGTTTTACAAAAAGTACAAGAAGTTCATACAAACAAAAATTAAACAACATATTCTAAGAAGTCTTAAAATAAAAAACCTAAACATAATGTCCTATATTATCAACTTCTTCACGAGAGATAATAAACTTTTCACAAGCTTTCGATACAGAAATCGAACGAACCTGAAAAAATAAATAACAAATATACATGTTAACAAATACTTCCACAAGTTAACTTACCACTTCTATTCAAACAAACTTCTAATTCTAACTCATTCCACATAACAAACTAATTKCASATGTCATGAACTAAAAATGTTATTCTCACATATGCATGAACTCAAAGTAAGCATTAAAAATTAACTCATTAAAACAACTTTCAAATTCACAAAAACTTACTCTTACTAAGTCTAAGAAACATGCACACAAACTCTACCACTTCAAGGTCCTAAATCACGCAGTCTCCTTTTAGCCTCGTATGACGTACTAGGTATAGATGTAGCTATCGTAAATGCTTCGTTTAACATATCAAACGATTTATTACTCCAATTGTTAATGACYTTGGTATGCATCAACTTTACTAAAAAATTCAATGATGAAAATTTTGTACAACCTGGGTACAATTGACTACGCGCTTCATTGAACAACTGTTCGAAACTATTAGACGTGTCTCTTCCATGTTCGTTTGGGGGCATCTCAAAACAAAATTGTTCACCTTCTACATTTTCTTCTACCGTGGGGTACTATAAATCATTGAGAAGTCCAGACATATCACCATTCTCATTATTCATAACATTGTATTCTCTATTTAATTCATTGTGGGAAGGTGATTGAATTTTTAGGGCACCTTTCGGCGACGACTTTTAAAGTGATCGCCAAAGGTCCAGATTTCGTCGCCGAAAGGTAATTCAAATTTACCCTTTGATTTCGTCGCTGAAAAGACCTGCCAAAAAATGAAATAAATTACTTTCAACGACGAAATGGAAAATTGGTCGCCGAAAACGACTTTCRGCCACCAATTACATGTTTAGTCACCGAAATCACTTTAGGTTTCAGCGACGAAACTTGCCCTTCGTCGTTGAAAGCCAAACTTTCGGCAACGAAAAATGTAATTGGTCGCTGAAGGTCAATGTATACCTTCGACGACGATTTTAGTTAGAATGAAAATCGTCGCCGAAGGTCTAGTTTTCGGCGACCACATTAAATGTCGTCGCCGAAGGTCTGGCTTTCGGCGACCACATCTCTTGTCATCACCGAAAGTTGGAACTTTCGGCGACGACATGTCTTCTCGTCGCAGAAAGCTAGACCTTCAGCGACAAAATTTGTTTTGTCGCCAAAAGCGACTTTTGGCGACGAAACTATATGTCGTCGTCGAAGACTTCATCGTCGAATCCCAAATTTCTTGTAGTGTAAGGAGAGATTGCTGAAATTCTTTCCTGAAATTCATGGTATATAGAGCGATACTATTTGAAGGGCAGTTTGGGCAACAAAAATTGGTTTTGTGGGTGCTGTGTTTTCCAAGGTTAAGGCTTTGTCTACCATAGGGATTTCTTGGATGTTGACCATGAGTACAGGAGAAAAGAGAGAGAGACGTGAGCGATTCTATTATATTATCCTAATGAAGTAATGGAAGGTGTATCTCAGGTACATTATAAATCTTTATTAGATTCCCTCTTTTTTTTTCTACGTGAGATCATTAACGTATCTCTCAACGTATCTCTCAACATGGTGGTTTTTTAATTTGGCTCACTAATCTTAACCGAATCTCATTTTTCGATTCGACATTTAAATTCTTTTTATTTTTTTAGCTTTGATACCCGGTAAAGATTTGTGTTTCACTATGGAAATGCTCCCTACAAACTTGATTGGGGCCAGAGAGAAAAAGATATGATTTATTGAGGAAGTACAAACACGTGTGGAACCCATACACACAAGGCAAGCCCTCAAGACCACGTTTACTTATCCGCAATCATAATGGAAATCAATCGAAATCGTAATGTTATTCCATTGATGTTGTTTACCAGAAAATTTCTAGAATCGTATCAGAACTCCTTTGACATAGAATTCCTTTGATGTGTTTACTAAAACTGTCTAGAATCGGAATTGGAATCAGATATATAACAATTACTAATATACATTTTCCTCCTTTTTAGCTAATTATTGTGCTAATTTTTTTTAAATTACAATAATAATAAATTTTAATTTAATTTATTACTATACTATTGAGATTAAATATTTTTTATTATAAAAATTTATCTAATATTAATACATAATGAATAATGGAAATAAAATTACATCAAATAAAATATTGTTTATTAGAACGACCAAACTTTAATATAACATGCTATTAAGTTTTATTATTCTAATATTTAAAAGTAATAATATCTATGTCAAAGCGAGCATAGCTCGACGGTAATTGGTATATACGAAAATCAAAGTTTTCATTACGATTGCGAGTAAGTAAACGGGACCTAAGATCAAGGATCAAATATCAAAGATTGGGGTAAATCAACCTGCTACAGAATAATCTATACAAGAGAAAAATACAATTGATGCATTTAAAAAGTACTGAGAAAGAAATATAACAAATGTCAGAATCATTGAGCCGATTTTATCATTCTATTCTAACATGTTTAAATAGTTGTTTCAGATAAATTCGAATACATAGCTCAATAAATAAAACAACTATTAGGATTCTTGCATCAATCCCAACCCGTAATTATTCAACTAAAAAAACATCGAAGATAGAGATTTAAAGAGGGGAGAGAGAAATCCCATAACCCATTTTGGCACAATTTTAATATCTTAGGATCAAAATCCATACTTTAAAGCCAATTTTATTAATACTTCAAAGTAACCACCAAAACTTCCCAAGCCAAAAGCTAATGAAATGATCAACGCTTGTAAGCAACCAAATCCTGTCGCGTGTGGGAGTCACATAATATAACAATAAAACAATATAAATGCCTTCTTCTTTTTTTTTCTTTTTTCAATAATTGATATATTAAATGAAATTAGCTTCTGCAACTAATTTGCAGTAGAATTTCAATTTGGTGTGTTCGTCCGCTGTGTCGTCTTTGGACTCCCTCAGGCCGCCCGTCATGTCGTCGAAATCTGGTCATTTCTGGAGTTCTACTGTAGTGCTCAGATTGCGAAGCTTGCTTCAACTTTTCCATAAGACAGAGAACTGCCACGGCGGTGGCGGCGGCGGTCGTCGGAGTTCTCCACCGCCGCAATCCTCCGTCGCGATGCTTCCTTACACGCCATGTTATAACCAACCACCAATTTATCCCATGTTTCGGTTATTTGGTTCTTATTTCACCAGGTATTTTGAATATCCCACATTTTTAAATAATTTCAGATCAAATTACAAGTTTATTACTTTGAATTTTCTGTTTGATAAATCTTCGAACTCTCAATTTGTATTGGATAGGTTCTTTAACTTAATCAACATCTTTTAGAACTCACTGATCTCTATTAGGCAAAAAATTGAAACATTTTGAAGTCCGTTAGTTATATACCTAATTTAATTGAATGTCTAGTAGAGATTTGTTAATTTTAAAAATGGTACGAATATGTCAATTAGATCTATTAAATACAGATTTAAAGTCTGAGGACTTCACTTTTACTTTTAAGGATTTTATTAAACATAAAATTGAAAGTTTAGAGACACGTGAAATTATAATTTTTTTGTTTTTGGTAATTTACTTGTAACCATTAAACAGAAGTAGGATTTGTTTTTGGTGATCATTTTTAAAAAATAGTTTTATAGTTTAAAAAAATTAAATTTCATGATAACTTTTTTGTTAATCAAAAGAACTGTTTGGCGAGTAAAAAAATACCCAAATAAAAAGAGTATATTGTTATTTTTATGTATTTTCCTTTTTTTTATTGAAGTTACTGTTTATGTATAATTATCAATTATTTGTAAACTAAAAAGATAATAGAAAACATTTTTAAATGGTAAATCTGTAAAACAAAATTTTTTTTAAAATAAAACTTGAAAAGAAAAACACCCAAAGAACTCCAAGGTTTCCAACACTTACTTTTTTTTCTTTTTCTATTTTCGGAAAATTAGTTAAAATCTAAAAACTTTTCAAGTGAAAAATTCAGTAAAGACATGGTACAAAAATAAAATTAATTTTTTTGATTTTTAATTAAAAATAAAATCATTATTAAACATGACCTTATCCTATAACAAGCCTGAAAACATTACCAAACCGATTTGAAATTTTCTCGTTCCTCGTTTCTTATTCTTATTTCTATTTTTCAGTGCTACGATGAAACTTAACAGAGAAAAGGACCAGTCATCTACACCTTATTTCTTCTTCCCTGGTTGGTAAGTCAAACAAGAAAATTGATCATGAAAAATAATTTTCCATTTTACTGTTAAATTTTTCATTTGTTTCTTTTATTATATAAATATATATATATATATATATATATATATATATATATATATATATATATATTAATTTTTGGCTGTAATGAATTTAGGGTAAAATGGATTTTTGGCTCTCTATTGTCTCTCTTGATACCCACTTGGAAGCAAAGTTCGAATAAACTGCAAACTCTTGAAGGTATTTTACTTATTTCCTAATTAAACTAATATCTTTCCCTTTTTTTTAATCCCCAACACTCTTTTTTTCCAAGGAAAAAAAAAACAATAAACCAAATATGTTTATTGCTAATTATTTATTCTAAAATAAAAAAGAAAAAAGAAAAGTAGTTTCTAAACTCAACTTTCCAATAGCCTCCCATTTTTTAATTTTAAAATTTTTTGGTTAAGATTTAAAAAAAAAATGTTTTCTAGAAAGTATTTTTAACAAATTTATAATGAAGATCTGAAGATCTAGCTGTTTGTTATGGAAATTATGACTTTAATCAAAGTTAAAAACCACCTTAGTTGGCTGTAAAATTGCAAAAATAGTCGTATTGATTTTTCGGTACAACATGTAGAAGTGAGGATTCGAACTCACGATCTTTTGATCGGAAATAAGTGTCTTTAATCCATTGAGTTATGTTCAAATCGAAGATAGGTCGAATGTACTAATAAATTATCCGTTTCCAGGAGAAGCGGAAATGGTGATTGAGGAGGCTGAAAGTGTAGCAGAAGTAGTAGAAAAGGCAGCAGAAATAGCAGAGAAGGCATCAGCAGAAATTGCAAAGAAACTTCCTGAGAAGAGTAAGCTGAAAGAAGCAGCTGAAGTGGTAGAAACTTATTCAAAGCAAATTGCCCATGATGCTCACTTAACACAAGACATCCTCCACAAGGTTTTGGATTTATTTTTCCATTTTTCACAAATTATCACTTTAATTTGTTTTATTCTTTCTTTCTATTTTCATTTATATCTTTTTTTTCATAAATTTTGAATTTCATTTCTATTTTGGTCCCTAAGTTTCAAAATCATACACTTTTACTTATAAGATTTCAATAATGTTCTATTTTTGGTCTTTCCCTCCCTCCGATGTTATATCCCTTCCTCAACCACTCTCGACGCCCCCACTCTTGTCGTCGTCGCCCCCCTCTTGTCTTAAGATCTAAATTTTTTTTGGATCTGGGGATCGATGATGAGAATTGGAGAAGGGGGCACAAAGGTGTCGGAGGTGCATGGTGGGGGAAGGGGGTGTCGTCGGAGGGGTGGTGTTGAGGTGGTGGGACATTGGGAGTAAAAGCGTATGATTTTGAAATCTAAAAACTAAATAGAAATGAAACTAGAAACTTAGGGTTCGTTTGGTAATGTTCATATTTCCTGTTTTCCGTTTCTCGTTTACTATTTCCTATTTTTTTTTCTAATTTTCTTCGAACTAGGAACAAGAATACACTTTATAATCATTTATGTTTCTTGTTTCTCGTGAAAATAAAATAGAAACAATAATATGTTCCATTTTTATATTTTTTAGTTAAATACGGTGGGATTGACCTCTTGATTGGGATATATATCTTAATTCAAGTTTACTTGTTTTTTTGGTTGGAATAGAATTCACTAGATATAACATATACTCGATGAGTATAATTCATTAAAGAAAGTATAATTTACCATATAAGTTTCTTTGATATATAAAAGTCTAAGTTATTAGTTTAAATAAATAATAAATTCTCAAAATATTTTTAATTTAAAAAATATATATTATTGCTATTTTTTTTTAAATTCCGACCAACCAGATTTCATAGAATTTTAAAGTAAATTAGTTATTTAACTTTATCATATTTTAATTTATAATTAATAAATTTAGATTAAAAGTACAAATTAGTAAACTTTTTATTTTCTTCTTCTTTCAACTAACATTCAAATACAGAAATTTGATATATTCATTTCAAATCATTCTCGTTCCAAATGAGATAAATCATTTTTCGAACTTCAAATCACAAGATTTTAAATCATTTCTTTTGACAAAAAAAAGTGTAAATATATATATATATATATATATATATATATATATATATATATATATATTTTCATCTCTTCATTGTAGGTGGAAGAATGGAAGCAAAAGCTAGACAAGTCAGAGACAGCCATTAACGAACAGATCAGGAAGAAAGAAGGCCCAGCAAACAAGTGAAAGAGGATATAATTATAAGGATCAATATAACATGTAAAAATGATAAATGTAGAAATAACTTTTATTTATTTTATTGTTAAAGAAAACATTCATTTTATCATTTTTTTAGTTTTCTAAAAGTGAATTTGATCTATAACCAAAAGAGAAGGTTTAAGACCAATTTGGTGACATTACTATTTCTTGCTTCTTGTTTACTTTTTCTCATTTTAGAAAAGTAAAAAATTAAAAGTTATGTAGAAATTTTGAAAAGTTTTTTATTTTATTTTTAGTTTTTCGGAAAGCATAAATAAAAATATTGTTTTATCCTTCTTGACATACAAAATGTATAATAAATAATTAAAAATGAATATAATACACTAATTTTGAATATTTGATTTAAAAATTAATTTCTATATAAAGATTTACTTTTTTTTTTGTAAATTTAAAATTTTAGGAACGAGGAAACAATAAATTGTTATCAAACATATTTTCGATTTTTTTCCAATTAAAATAAGAAATAGTTATCAAATGCAGGTCTATTTTCATTTATTAAAAAATATAAAATCAGAAAAAAAAATTTAAGTAGAAACATTGCTAAACACGTCCTAAAGTTTCCAATCAAATGCAGGTCTATTTTCATTTAAACAAATTCATTAAGTGTTATTATTGTTGAGGATCCCACGTCGAAAAGAAAATGAACCTAATTGAATGGAATCCCATAAATATTCATATAACATGTCCCTCAAGATCGTGGTTTTGATACATATTAATATTCATGGAGTTCTATCTCGGAGTAGCACATGTTTATTATAACCAGTGTAGGTGTCTTCTCTTCTCAATGTGAGATCCTTAACAATTATAAACAAAATTTGAAAAAGATAACAATTTCAATAAATTTATAAAAGCAGATCAGATTTATTTCATTGATTTAATCACAGACCTAGAAACTAGGGTTTCAAACTTATTCAAATTTAATAGTAATATAATAAAAATTTTAAATCTGTAAAGTTTTAATAGAAAAAAAAAACAAGCTTAATTAGCTGGTTATGGTTAAGACAGTTCGATTCTCTACCCATATTAGAAAAACAAAACTAAGGACAGAAAATCAAATTTACCCTATTTTTATAACACATTTCAAACTCATGGAGGGTGACAGCAAAAAATTTTTCATAAGAAATATCATACAAAGAGAAAATGACACGTCATTACATAAATATTTTTTCTATTCCAATTATAATTTAGTGATACCCCATTGAAAAAAATACTTTTTCTATCATGAGGATTGTGTTACTCGATGAGTAAAAAAAATGTTTATGTGATTAACTTCTTTTTTTTCCTTTCCATGCAATTATATATATATATATATATATATATATATATATATATATATTCAAATAAAATTATGTTATTTGAACAAAATTTTAAACTCTACCACTATATTTAAGAATGCATTTTAATTTTTATGTATTCGCCTAAAAATTAAAAAATAAAAATTATATTAAAATCAGATGAAAATGGGAACTCCCTCTGCAACCGTCAAACTCAACCATTCAAATCATCATTTTAGAAAAAATCACGATCTCAAAATAAAACAAAGACAAAAACGAAAATGAAAACAAAAACAAAAGAAGAAAAATGAAAACCAGGGACAGAACTGTAATTTTACCCATTATTAAGATCCAGTGACACGTCATTATGAGCATTACATAAATACTTTTTTCTATTCAAATTATAACTTGGTGATACTTTTTCTTTTCTTCAGTAAAAATAATTTGGATCTTTCTAATATTCAAAGGTCATCTCTGAAAAATAAGATACGAACTCCCAACGGTAATTTCTTTTTAAAACAAAATCTAGTCTCGAAAATTTAGGAAATTATCTAAACATCGTTTCAATGCAATTTTGACAAATATAATCTCTTGATTTTAAATTTAAACTAAATCTAATTATTAAAATAGAAAATTATCTGTACTAAAAAAAATTATCTAAATTAATTCAACTAAATTTAGTTTTTAAAGTTTAATAAGATTTGTTTTTGAAATCATTTAGGAAATCGTTTGAATGCAAACAAAACTAGATTAATTATTAATTAATTAATTTAAATCTAAATTTGTTATTTGTTATTTGTTATTGTTAGTTTTTTTTTTTTAAGAAAACTAAATTTCTTTTCTTTAACTAATTTACTAATTTTAGAAGATTTACTTAACTAATTAGTTATCTTTTTTACAATATTAAAAAAAATCCCTTCTCAAATATACTTAGATTTGATTTAGTTCAAATGTAATTAGTTAATTAGATAATTTATTTAGCTGGTTTAGTTTAGATAATTTTTCATTTTAATAATTAGATTTAGTTTAAATTTAGAATCTAAGAGAAGATGACCTTCTCTCCACATGGTCCTTGTCTCGAGCGAACAAAAAGTATTTGATTTTTAAATTAGTTATTTTTTTACCTATTAAAAATAAAAAGTGAAATTTTTATATTATAATTTTTTTTTAACAGTATCAAAAAGTGATAATTAATTACGTGAAAAAAAGAAGAAATAATTCGAACAAAAATGGAAATAATACTAAGATCGGATGAAACTGGAAGCTCCCTTTACAAACGCCAAACTACAACTTCAAAAAAAAAATAATAATAAAATTAAAATAAATAAATAAAATGAAGGACAGAATAGTAATTTGGCACATAAAAGCGAAACCGAACGCCGGAGCGGGGACCTACATGAGGAAAGCCGCGGCGAAGAGAGAACCGGCGACGGCGAAAGAATTGGAAGCAGCAGTGTTTCCGGCAGCAGCCGGAGCATCGGCGGGAGGGGAGGAGATGGAGGATGGAGGGAGGGCCGGTGACGGAGAAGACGAAGGCGGACCAGCGAGAGAATGCTTACCGGTGGCCGGCGACGGCGCGGATTTCGGCGAAACCCTAGGCGAATCGGCGGCCGGCGAAGGAGAAGCGGCGTGCGAATGTTTCTTCGGAGACTGAGCGGCGGCGGAGGTTATCAGTATGAGCGCCATTAGGGCAAGGACTGTAAATCGTACGGAAGCCATTGACAGAGAGAGAGAGAGAGAGAGAGAGAGAGAGAGAGACTAGAGAGAGATTTCTGAGGGAAGAGGGTGAGAGATGGGAGGGGAATATATAGAGAAGGAGAAAAAGAGGAGTTGAAGTTGCACAAGGAGCGCGTGCTGCTGACGCCCCTACATTTTGGACATTTTGGACATTTTGGACATTTCTCATGCTATTATATTTCTGACGACACCTAGTATTTCTAATTCTTCCTCCAAATTTTTTAAAATTATCAGAATTTTTTAATCTTTTTCCTTTTAAAAATCATATTTTCTCCCCTAAATTTGCAGCGGGATGAGAAGAAATCAAAATGTAAATTAGAATATTATTTTTTCTAATGCTATTTATAGAATATTGATCTAGAAATCAATACTAGTATATTCATTTGCTTATTTCTAGCTAATTATACATGAACTAAAAATTGAGCTTTTATTATTTTTAATAACTAAAAAATTAATAAATACTTTTTATTATAATAATTTATTTAATATCAACAAATAAAATAGAATTACACCAATTAAAAAATTTTAATATAATAATAATAAATTTTATTTTAACAATTTATTGATATTAATTAATAATAACTAGGTAAAATTAAATGATTGGTAAATTAAATAGAAATGTATAATATTTTATAATAAAATTATATTAACTTGATTTTTTTTATTAGAAGAAAGGGGAGAGTTAAATTGTAAAACAATTAATAAAAAGTTATGTGTTTCATGTAATTAATAATTATTTCATTCCATTCCTGCAATTTAGTAAAGATTAGGGAAAGAAAATTTTCATTCATTTAGAGTAAAAAGACCTAAATATTGTATCATATAATATTATTGTCAATCAATTTTAAGATAAGAAAGACATAATTGAAAATATATATATATATATATATATAAAAGAGACTAAATTAAAACTTTTTAACCTCCAAGATTTAATTGAAGAAATGCTAGTAAAAAAACAAACATATATTTAGTATCTCTATCAAAAAATATATAGAGATATGAAAAAAAAAAGTCTACAAAATGCGTAAATATAATATTAATAGTTTATAATTTTTTTCGTGAGCTACTTATTTATTAATTTAAATGTTTTTTTAGGAATTTTTAAGGGTGTTTGATAACTATTTAATTTTTAGTCTTCTATTTTATTGATAAGTTTTTCACCACTTTTAAAAACATCTAGCCAAATTTTTCAAACAAGAATAAGTTTTTAGAAACTTTGTTTTTTTTCCAAAATTTGGCCTAGATTTTAAAAATGTTTACAAAAAATATACAACAAAACAAATAATATTTTTAAACTTAATTTTTAAAAATAGAAAATCAAAATTGAAATGGTTATCAAAYGAAGTCTTAACTTTTATAATTTTGTTTAAAAATGTTTAACGAGATCRACATTTTGTCAACTTTTTTATAAAATTGGGACATCAATATTTTCATCAAACAATAATTAAAACCTCATTTCTAAGTGCACATCTCAACTGTAACCTAGTATAAGATATTATTACTATAGAAAATATTTAAGTGCTGATTGGTGAGCACTACCATCATTAGATAGAGAGAAAAATACAAAAGTAGATAATATCTTTAAAAATAATGAGTCGTCGATTTTTAACTAACACGTGTTCACATGTCAGTACCTAAATATTTTCCATTTATTATTATCTTAAGGAATGGAAAATAAAAAAAGTAAAGCAATGAGTGGCCAACGAAGTTCCAGAGGAAAATGAAAAAGAACACCACGATTTTAAATTTTGGAGAGAGGGAAAGGAGAACTCGTTTGAAGGAATCACATCATGAAATGCCAAAGAAGAAGAAATGAATATTTTTTAAAAGAAAAAAAAAAGAAGAAAAATTGTAACCATTTAATCTTTTGTTTTGTCAAATTTATAATAATTTAGTTCAGTCCGTGAACCTTAATAAATTAAAAAATAATTTAATTTTTATTATATAACGATTTAGTTTTGTAGTTTGCAAATATTACATTCACTCTATTATTTTCAAAAATAAAAAAATATATTCAACAAAAAATTCATTAAATATCAATAATATTTTTCACTTTAAAAACTAAATTGTTACAAATTTAATAATGAAACGAAACAAAATCAAAAGTATTTTTATCCAAATTAATTTTAATTAAAAATTTAACATTTTTTTTGGGAGAAGTGAAATAGGAAAAACAAAACTTGATGATATTACATGGAAAAAATGAATAATGTAGTTTATAAAAAAGAGAAAAGGAAACATAAGATAGCTGGCTGGTATGGGTGGACTGGCTTTTGTTTGTTTGTTTGTTAATTAATAATTTAAAGGTTGATGATGAATGACAACTGTTGCTTGGCCTTTATTCAACTCAAATAAATAATATAATGCCTCCAAACATAACGCTCATAAACATTTCCAAATTTTTTTATSGAGACGCTTTAATGTCAATACGAGCATAATTTAGTATTAAATAATATTATACTTAAAAAAAATTGTAATGACTTAATTTAGATCGATTATACTTCYACTATTAGCCTTCCTTAATTCAACTAAATTTTAAATTTTTAATATCTACGAGTATTTTGATAGGTTATGACTTTGCTATTTTTATTGTCGAGAAACTCATGTGAAATTTTGGGATAATTGTCTATTTTGATCGAAAAAGCTTTTGGGTTTGTTTAGGGGAAAGAATACCCTRGACACGTGGARGACAGYCATTGGTGCTCCAARGTGACCCATGAGTCATGCCCCAGCTCGGACCGCCGAGATCACCACCACTAGCGTTGACAGATGCTAAGTATGAGGGCCGAGGTGACCCTGGCCGAGGTCTGATCTACCGGGAAGCTCGGTGAGGGCCGACGTGAGCTACTGTCAGCGGCGTGATTATCAGGTGTAACCGTCGGTCCCGAGATTACCGGGTGTAACCAACGGTCCCGAGATTACCGGGTGTAACCGTCGCGAGATTAGCGGGACTACCACCCATAAGTAGAGGACCTCACTCCACGATCAGGTACGATGATTTCTGACCTCGAACTAAACTGGGAATCCGACCTATACTGACTTGATCGTCGGAGTGCTCACCTTTTTGTGCAGGTCCGCCCAAGTATTCAGATCGGTCCGGAGGCCGAGTTCGAGCTGCAATCAGAAGTACACTGTTGTGCATATCCTTGCATAAACAGGGTTTAATTAAGTTTTTCAAAAATTTTGCTAACATGGAGGAAGGCGACAACCTTTACCAAACAACCCTCCTCTTTAAACGAAAGTGTTAAGGCAAAAAGAACAAAGTATGAAAGTTGTGGTGGTTCTTGTTCTCACACTCGGTGGAGAAATGTTTGAAGAAACTTGGTTGCTCGTGTGTTTTTTGGTGGATTTSAATTCTTCATTTTTCATCTTTGAAGTGCCAATGTCGAGGTAGAATCCACTTTGTTTAGCAGAAAATTAATCGGGGTCTGCTTGGTCAAGGTCAGTAGCCATGTAGAAGATCTGACTCGTCTCTACGGAGATAATCTACACAAAAGGACAAACTCTCCGACACTCAAGTCAGTAAGTAGCTCGTACTCAATATGAAGTTCGAGATAGTAATTTGATACCTGCCCATAGAAATTGTGCCCCCTAGCTATTTATAGGTTGGGGATCCGATAAGCCTTTCGACAGGCGTTATCAAAGTCGAAGGTTAGGTCGGACATATCCTAGATACTTGGTCGGACCTAGTGGCAGGTCAGACACTAAGAGGGTAGACGCAATGAATATTTGATTGAGTAGTCTACCTCGGACCTGAAACCTAATGTATCCAGGTGTGCGTATCTATGTCCTCCACGTGGCGTTATGTTTTCATCCCCAAACACATTTACATTAAATCTCCTCTTCTCACTCGTTATTGGATTAGGGGCAAATGAAAAGAGAAAACGATTTTTCGATTTGAGGGGTTAAGGTTGGTGTAAACGGATAGATTCGAAGGTTTTTGAGCTTGTGTTTGAT